CCCCCCCAGGGAGAGGGGGAAGTAGGGATGCCAGCCTTCAGGTAGGACCTGAAGCAATAATAGTGTACTCTTTGGTGGTTGCTAGGCAGTTCTTTTCCCTTCTATAATTAAGCAAAAGCTCCCTAAATTCTGTTAGCACAAAGCCAGCAATAAATTAAAGTGAGAGCAAGCCAACAGAAGCTGCAGCAAACCAAACCCCACCCAGGGATGTTAGGGGGCAGGGATATGGTGCTCTTAAACACGATACTTAGAAATTTCACAAGTGAAACTTTTCCCTCATCGGGAAAAGTGTCACTTTCAGTGTCTCAGCTGCTAATGGCGTAGGGGCTCTTCCCCCCCCAAGGAGAGGGGGAAGTAGGGATGCCAGCCTCCAGGGGGGACCTGGCAACTCTACTGGAGAGTGACATCCACAGTTTTGGGATGGAGCAAGGAATGTAACGTGGCCGCTGCAGGAGGTGGAGCCAACCATAAAATGTCAGAGAAGGGAACTTATGCATAGCTGTCATAGTAATTTTTCAGCATTTCAGGCAGAAGCTCTGTAACAGAATGTCATGTAATCTACAGCCAATCAGATCACCAGGGTAGCATTGACAGGTCTTATCTGGCTGCAGGCGGGGTGTGGGTGTGTGTGTCCCCTCTCTGTGTCTTGGAGTTTTTGGCATGCACGCAAAGTGCGTGCACCACAATGATGTCACCCAGAAGTGATGTCTTCGTGCAGGGCACGCTGTGGGTGGTGACGTCATTGCGCCGGGCACATTGGCACGGGGCTCCCCTGCCGGCTAGCTGGGCAGTGGCAGATTAGGTAAGTGGGTAAACCTCTGCCCCCTTTGGAAGAATGGCAACCCTACTCCAGTGGCCAATCAGAAGCCTTGCTGGGCAGAAGCCCCATCTAGCCCCACCCAGGAAAGGTATTAGTGGGGGCTGTGTTGGGGACCCCCATAATAGATGGTTCCAGGGGTCTGGAGAGAACCATCCCATTACCACTCTATGGTCTGTTGAGGACATTCCATAAATAAAACAGAATTGTATACTTCATGACTTATGCAATAGTGTGTGTGGAAAGTTCAGACTGATTTTGTAAGTTTGTGTCAGTGTAAGAAATGATGCTTGAGCTCTGGAGAAAGGTTTTGAGGTCATGCTTTTTTGTTTACTAGTTATTTTACAAGATTTAAGAGATCTCTTTTGGACAAAATTGGGTTTGTTTTTTTTAAGGGAGAGAACTTCCACCCACATCTGATGAAGCAATTAACATGCATAGCTGGAAACCCACCATTTATCAAATAACTGTTTGCTTTTTTCCCCCCTTGAAAATAATTTGCATAATTGTTTAGATTATTTAAAAAATGTACTGAGGAGGAAGCAATAACTGTGCTTTTTTATTAAAAAAATTGCTATTCAAATAGATATTGGACAATTTTAGAAGAGATGATAGATAAGCAGTAAACAGTGAAACTCAAAATTAGCCGCTCCATTTGAATTCTCGAAGCAGAACTCTACAGCTGTGCTAAGGAACCAACATACTGCATACATCTAAACCTTATTAATTAATCTTGGTTGTTGTTGTTTTTTTAACCATCAAGAAATCATGAACACAATTGAATTGCAAAACCGGTGAGGGAGGACAGATAAATCTAAAATGTTTTGATCTCCTTAGTGAATAAATTTTGTTCTAGAGGACAGTCGAAGGGCCAGTTTGTTACTTTAACGGCGGGGTTACTCTGTGCCATTCCACAGACATTATGTACTATCAGGCTGCAACCATAAGAACATAAGAGATGCCAATGTTGGATCAGGCCAAAGGCCCATCCAGTCCAACACTCTGTCACACAGTGGCCAGAAATACCAGTGCCATCAGGAGGTCCACCCGTGGGGCCAGGACATTAGAAGCCCTCCCACTGTTGACCCCCCCCCCCAAGCACCAAGATGACAGAGCATCTCTTGCCCCAGAGCCCCTATCTATACCTTGTGGCTAATAGCCATTGATGGACCTCTGCTCCATATGCTTATCTAATTCCCTCTTGAAGCCGTCCATGCTTGTAGCCGCCCCCACTTCCTGTGGCAGTGAATTCCATGTGTTAATCACTCTTTGGGTGAAGAAGTACTTCCTTTTATCCGTTCCTTTTATCCGCTCAGCAATTTCATGGAGTGCCCACGAGTTCTTGTATTGCGAGAAAGGGAGAAAAGTACCTCTTTCTCTACCTGCTCCATCCCATACATAATCTTATAAACCTCAATCATGTCACCCCTCAGTCGTCGTTTCTCCAAGCTATAGAGCCCCAAGCGCCTTAACCTTTCCTCATAGGGAAAGTGTTCCAACCCTTTTATCATTCGAGTTACCCTTTTCTGCACTTTTCCCAAAGCTATAATATCCTTTTTAAGGTGTCATGGCAACCCCAGCAAGGGGGCTTCCAAGGCAGGTGAGAAGCAGAGGTGCTTTGCTGTGCCATTCTAGTCACACAAAAGGGGGGGGCACAGCAATATAGTGTGCCTCAGTCGTGGGGAAGGAAGAACAGAACTTTCTGCTAGATGATTAACTCTTATGTGGGAAGCGCAAAGCAGCCTTGAGTAGGAGGCGTCATCAGCTGAAAGAGGTCATGTGCAGGGTTCCCTCTAAGCTGAGTTAGTGTGAGCTAGCTCAGTTTCTTAGCCTCCAGCTCACAGACTTTTGTCTTAGCTCAGGAAGGGATGGCTCCAGAGCAAACTAATTTATGCAGTAGCCAAATCGCTCGCTCACAACTTTAATGCGCGTAGTTCACAGAGTAGAATATTTGCTCACAAGACTCCACAGCTTAGAGGGAGCATTGGTCATGTGTTGCTTAGTCTTTCTTGTCTGCAACCACAATGTGCATGGGCACAGCTCCTCGGATCGAAGAAAAGGACTTCCAGTGCCCGCAGCATCTCAAACACTGCAGTCTCTGTCTGGGTTGCCGCAACTGTCCTGCCTTTAAAGGAGTGTACACACATTGCAGAACTGTGCCCAGGCAAAGCGCATAAGGAGTGGGAGGAGTGAGTGGGATTGTCCCCTTTGTGTGTTTGGCACAACTTGTGAAAACGCCTAGACCTTTTCATACATTGCATTGGAGGCGGGTGCAATCCCAGTGCCTCTTACATGTGTTAGCTTTGTTCCACGTAGACCAGGCTTCTGTGGAGGACAGTGACTGAAACAAGGCAGAGTACAGGCAACTGGTCCAGGAGAGGAGAGCAGAGTGTGGTAGAGGAGGCAGGTTTTTTTTTTTTTTAAACTGCATCCAAAAAGAGCTTGACTCAGTCATCCACACTATCACATGTGGGTTTTGCATCGTTTCTATCTGTACACACTGGTAATGGAGAAAGACAAAGCATGCCAGTGAACGGAAGAATTTGAAAGCTGCAGTGAACGACACATTCTGGAATTAAATTTTAGATGTTCTCCTTATTAAAGCAGAGCTGTGGTGGCTCATGTGGTTAAGACGCTGAACTGCAGGCTGTGGAAGGTCAGTAGTTCAGCAGTTCGAGACCCGAGTGTGCCGCATGATGGAGTGAGCTCCCGTCTCTAGTTCCAGCTCCTGCCAACCTAGCAGCTCGAAAGCAAGAAATTGCAAGTAGATAAATAGGTACCACTTTGGTGGGAAGGTAACAGCGTTCCGTGTGCCTTGGTGTTCAGTCATGCCGGCCACATGACCACGGAAACGTCTTTGGACAGTGCTGGCTCTTCAGCTTTGAAATGGAGATGAGCACTGCAACCCTAGAGTCGGATTTGACTGGCTTTCGAGCAAGGGAACCTTTACCTTTATTAAAGCAACATCGAATAAGATGCAGTGCAGGGTAAACTTCGGCAAAAACAAAATAATGTGACGGGAAATCTTCTCATCCTTGCTTTATCAGTGAGTATGAAGACATAGCGCCTCCTAGTGTCCAAAACTTGCTTCTCAGTCACACACTCACAAAATAAAAACACATCATAGCCAAGTTTTACCACGGCCGAGGCCTGGTTCTTCGTAATCACTTCTCACCTCCTACAGAAACTTTTTTATTTTTAATTCCTCCTAACGGCTTTGTGCTGCTCTTTGATTGGGGGGGAGGAGACTAAGGCTGGAAGAGCTGCCACACTTCCCCCTCATCCCTGTCAAGGGTTACTGTAGTAGAACCCTCCCACACATTACACACACATTGCATTTCTGCCCATGCATCAGCTTCTGAGAGACTTGACCGCTTGCCTTCCGCTTCGACAGGAGGCAGTCCGCAAAATGTCAGCACTGTCTGCTAAGTGCCTGCAAAACGTTTGCTGCGAAATACATCTTTCCACACCAGCTGCGTTTTATAAAAACTTACTTCCGCTAGACTCCACTGATGGCCTTTTAAGTTGGTAATCAGCTATTCTAAGCACCTGAATGGCAGGTCACACCTGCTGAGATGAGTGGCAGGAGAGCGGAGAAAGTCGTTTTGAATTTGACCAGAGGACCTTTTTAAAAAAAAAAAAAAAAAGTAGTTCTACTTTTTGGGGTGAGGTTGGTGTTTTTCTAAAAAAAAATTATCACAGACTCTTGTTTTTCTGCTTGGAGTAGCCCAAATATGCAAATACCCTGGTGCTTGACTGCATGTCGATGCTTTTTGCTGCCATTGTGATAGGCCTGTTCACTATTACAGGGAATAAGTCCATTATAGAGGTCCCTAACGTGGTGCCCATTGATACCTTTCCTGATGCCCACCAAGCGTTTTCAGAAAGTGGGCGGAGCCAGGTGTGGCTTTTGCCCATCAAGGATTTGGATTGGCTGTGCAAATTTTTAAAAAACATTGCTTTGGCATCAGCTGCGACTACTGCGCAGGGAACATCATTGTGTGACTGATGGTGTGCTGTGGCAGCCAGTTTGTGACTGCGCCCACCTTTGTCAGAATTCCAAAGGGGCCTGCAGGCTCAAAATGGTTGGGGACCCCTGGTCTATTACATATAATAGGATGTTCATTGCAAATTATTTCGTTAACTCCCCCCTCCCATCTCTCTCTCTCCCCTCCCCTCCTAGGTCCTGAGAGTTTTAGTTCAAAGAGTCTTGCACTGCAAGCCCAGAAGAAGATCTTGAGCAAAATGGCGACCAAGACCATGGCTAACATGCTGATCGATGACACGAGCAGTGAAATCTTCGACGAGCTGTATAAAGTGACGATAGAGCACATGAAAAACAAGAAAGAAGCCCACAAAATCATGAAGGACTTGATCAAAGTCGCCATCAAAATCGGGATTCTCTACCGCAACAATCAGTTCAACCACGAAGAGCAGGAGCTGGTCGAGAAGTTCCGCAAGAAGCTGAACCAAGCGGCCATGACTATCGTCAGCTTCTACGAGGTGGAGTACACGTTTGACAAAACTGTACTTTCGGGACTCCTGCACGAATCCAAGGACCTGGTGCACGAACTGGTGGAACGGCACCTGACAGCCAGGTCTCACGCTCGAATCAACAACGTCTTCAACCATTTTGCAGATGTGGAGTTCCTGACCGCCCTTTATAGCCTTGATGGGGAATGCCGCCCACACCTCAAAAAGATCTGTGATGGAATCAACAAACTACTTGATGAGAAAATCCTTTGAAACTTCACTTTTCGTCTGAAAGACTTAAGAGATGCAAACTGAGAATGTGGGTCAGAAACGCAAGAACAGACTTCCTTTCTGTAATCGCAAAACAGAACATCTCTATTCCAGATCACTCAGCATTCAGTTTGTACATGGAAAACAAGACAGGAAACCAGTCACACAGTGAACTTGTGCCCACAGATAGCTTTTTAGGATGCAGGGCAGTTTGTTATGCAAAATCACGATGTATCATGACCTCTTTACTGCTATGCTGGGGTTAGAGTTTGATGCCTCTTCCCAAACCTTCTGCCCCAGAAGCCTGATATCCATGTCAGGGATGAAAAGAGCCCATGTGTATATCTTGGAGAAGAATGAATCCATACAGTTTTGATGAAGAGAGGGTCCCTGAAGGTCCTCACAATGGCAGATCTCCTGCTGTACACACAATCCAAGATCAGGAATGAACATAATTTTGTTGGCCAGATGCAACACAAGCACAACACGGTGGTTTTTGAAGGCTTTTTTGTTTTCTACGGAGGAATACTAAAGTGCAGGCACCAGGAAGATGGTGCGGCTTTTACTTCCCAACCTTTCCACATTGCCCAAGCTATTCCCCATTACTGGTTTTAGCCTCAGTACTGGAGAGTCCGCCGTTAGAGTAGCTCTCCATGGGTGCTTCTCTACTGCAGCCCCAAATGCACCATGAGATGGGCAGTTTCAATGCGGGCAAACAATTTAAGGGCACCCTTAAATCATAGCGAAGCAGCAGCAACACCAGGATTTTAACTTTCTTATTCCACTGGTTTTCAATACAGTTGCCAGGTCCCTTCGTCACTCCAGCGGGGGGATATGGGGGGCGTTCCGAGGGTGGGCAGGGATGCCCCAAGTCCTGCCCCCAAGAGCGGCCACCTGCCCAGCAGTGTTCCCTCTAAGCTGAGTTGGTGCTAGCTCACCGTTTTTTAGCCTCCGGCTCACACATTTTTGTCTTCGCTCAGGAAGGGATGGCCCCAGAGCAAACTATTTTATGCTGTAGCCAAATCGCTTACTTACAACTTTATTTCCAGTAGCTCACAAGGTAGAATTTTTGCTCACAAGACTCCACATTGCTGCCGGCCACTCTCTCTCCCCCTTCCTGCTCAATGTAAAGGACTTCAGCTGATTTGTGGGGACCACCATTGGCAAGTGGGGCGGGGGGCACGGGAAACCCACACTGCAGCCCCCACCTCACTCACAAAAAGGGTCTTTTTGCGAGCCAAGTGTGTGGCCCGCAACCTCCCCTCTCCTAGATTTAAAGGGCTTTCCAGCTGATCGGTGGGCCACATGGTCCCCACTGATCAGCTGAAGTCCTTTAAATCAGGCAAGAGAGGTGGGGGTGGTCGCTCTTGGTGGTGGAACTTCCCCCACCAGCCAGCTGCCTGGGGGCAGGATGGAGCCCCCAAAAGCGGGGGAACTCCCACCCGGACCTGGGGGCTGGCAACCCTGTTTTTCAAAGATGTGGATTAGTGTCAGGCTAGCTAGTGGTGGGGAACCTGTGTTTGAATTCCCAAGCACTTTTGGATGTGGTTAGTGTCAGGCGAGTGGTGGGGAACCTGTGTTTGAATTCCCCATTCAGATCACTGCTTGACCTGGAGCCAGTCATATACACGTAGTCAGCCTCACCTACCTCACGAGGTTGGGTTGAAGATTAGAGTGGAGGCTGCAGAGATCCACACACTCCACCCTATGCTCCTCAAAGAAAAGGCATGATAAAAATGCACCTGAAGCCCTTTAAACTAATAGATCTTTCCCACATAAACTCAGTTTTCCTTCCTTCCTTCCACAGTTAATCTAGCCTGGGGTCACATAGGTTCATATAGATTCAGGTGGGTATCTGTGTTGGGTTTGAAGCAGCAGAACAGTTTGAGTCCAGCGGCACCTTTAAGACCAACATAGTTCTATTCAGAGTATGAGCTTTTGAATGCACACACACTTCTTCAGGTACAGTGAAATGGATCCGAAGAAGTGTACATGCACACGGACGTCCGTACCTTGAATAAAACTTCGTTGATCTTAAAGGTGCCACTGGACTCAAACTTTGTTCTCAAGGTTCACACCAGCATTCTAGGATCATATCAGACACTTCGGTGTGAGCCTTAACCATTTAAGGGGTATTTATTGAAGATAATAATGCATCTTTGGTAGCACAGGAGCTGGAGTGACCACTGCAGTCAACAGAGAAGCAGCATGGGTAATTCCTAGATTAAGCCCACATTCTACATCTGTCTCAAGTAAATTCTGAGGATTAGCAGAATTCATAATGTAGTCAGTCCCCTGCTAGTAAGCACTGATGTGCAGGTTTTTGACTTGTTAACAGTCACTTGCTTTGGGTGTCCCTCAGTTTTCCAATTTGCTAATTTTGCCACTTTTGCTGCTGGGTGGAGTCCCCAGCTAATGCATTACAGGTTAGAGCAACTGTCTGCTAAAATGGGGAGATGCAAAGCATTACATATAATTAAATCTGGCCTATTCAGGTACAGTGACTTTTAATAAGCCAGCTTTCCACAGGGGGCAAAGCAGAAAGGAAGGGTGTTCCGGATAGAAAGCACAAGGGGAGGTTCTGCTTTATTCTTGCACACATTGCTATTCAGATTTTAATTATTTTAGGAAACAGCCAAATGTCTTGTCACTTTTATTTATAAGACTTCGGTAGCCTTAAAAATGAGGAGCAAGTATTACACATTGCTCGTATTGGTATATGCTGTACATTCATTGTTTACTTTTATATTAGCACATAAACACGGCAAAGCATTCTGGTCCAAAATATTGGTAGTATCAGTCAGCTATAAAATGTGTGTTGTATTATAAATTATACATTAAATGATTTGTGATTCAACAGCTTTCTGTCCCCTGGCACTTCTTTTGATGTCTCACCCCATCAAATTCCTTTAAAAGTATGTCATTATAAGAAGATGGCATGCACAAACAGTAATGACAAACAGTACGCTTTAAAAAGGCCATTACTAAGATGGGGACTCCAGGTTGTACCGTAAGGTAGTTGAAGATGGGAGACAGATAAAAGGTAGGTTGGTGAATGGCTGAGGAGAATGAGGCAGGGGAAAGGGTGAGGATGTGGGGGTTGGCAAGAGGAGGGAAGAAATAGAGCAGGGAGTGGGATACAGGGAAAAGTGAAGTGTCCCCTACAGTTTTGGGGGGTTCCATACTATTCAGTTGGACCTGGCCCAGTGGCCTGCACTACACAACCAGGCCATAGTTTTTCTAGGTTGAGACTGCTGGAGGGGGGAGCTGAAGACAGAGGTGCAGATAAATGTAGGTTCACTGTTGGGTGGGAAGGAAAGAAGAAAGCAGGAAAAGGGGAGGGGCTATGGGGTTTTCAAGAAAGAGGAATAGTGGGGTAGGGGGAAATGAGATGCCTCCTGCAAGTCTGTGTGGGTTTCCCACTTGTTATGGTATAATTCTCATTTAGTGTTATACGGCCATCTATCAATGGACTTTATAGCTATAAGCCCACATTTCTTGCTGAGATTCAAGGCGGATTGCAAAACATGAAACACGATTGGACAGCATAAAACACTGAATAGGAAATGCAAGTAGGACTAGGATTACAAAACTGGGTCACAGTGCAAACAAGTAAGAAGAAACCTATCTAAAGGCATGACATACCACAACTCAAACAAACCCTCAGGGACAGCAGGATGGCAAAGAGAGGCATTGCCATGGGAGGAAATCAGCAGAGACTGCTGTCCCCTCCTCTCTGACAGTGCTGTTCCATAGAGGAACTGTGTGGATACGTGTCACTAGATTTTTAAAAACAATGCCACAAATAATTTATAGCTGAATAACAGACTTTTAAGCAGCAGAATATTTTATTACACTGCACTTTTTATAAAGTTACAGAGTAAGGAAAAAACCAGTTTCTGTAGACAATTTAAAAAATAAAAGCGCGTGTACCACAGGTACAAATAAGCAACCCCATTTATGTTCTACAAACATAAGTTTAGTGATTGTTCTCCCGAAATTCCTTAGAAGATAAATAGTTAAAACATCAGAATTAAAAACTTTCAAACCAACTGTAAAAAAAGGAACTCCGCTCACGTCAAGTGTGCAAAAGGCATAGCTACGGTGGGATATCGTTGCGAAACATCACATGGTTGTAATGGTAGAAAACTGCATAGCCCAGAAACAGAAGCTTTGCTAGCTGATGCAATCCATTACGTTTTGCTCAAGTCTAGCCTTGAAATCTGATGCACGCTGCCAGCAGTCAGTGGAAAGAACGTTCCCGAGGTTCCCTCTACATCAGCAATGTACGAATGTAAACATTAAATACACATTCCATACAGTAATATCTCTTATTTCAATACCATTACATTTCAGTGCATTTCAGACAAGCCCTCAATTTGGATAACGCTGGAATCGTGGCAGAGTGGTTTGCTCACTTCTGTGGGTGGCCACGCCGCACTCCTGATGCTTGTACCCCTTTACGTCCTCCGGGGTATATAAAAAACTGCTTTGCTTTCTGACACAGGAGTGAATGGAAAGACCTGTCCGCATACCCAGCGTTTGATGGGACCGTGTTGTGCTGCTCTGCACGAAGCGCACACACGGGGGGAGGTCGTGGCTCAGTGGAAGAGCATCTGCCTGGCCTGCAGAAGGTCCAGGGCTCAATCCCCAGCAGCTCTGGTCAAAGGATCTGACAGTAAGCGATGCAAAAGCCTCTACCTGAGACTCTGGACAGCCGCTGCCAGTCTGAGTAGACTATACTGACTTTGATGGACCCATGGTCTGATTCAGTATAAGGCAGCTTGATGTGTCCATGCACAAGCCCTCAACAGCAGCTCCTCCAGCCACGCAGGCTCCCCCCACCATCGGCTCAGGTTCTATACAATACATGATGCATTACAAAAGACCTATAAACACAGGTGGGGATGAGAGAGCTCTTTTGATAACTGCTCTTTCCAGAACAGCTCTAAGAGAACTGTGACTGACCCAAGGTCACTCCAGCAACTGCATGTGGAGGAGTGGGTAATCAAACCCAGTTCTCCCAGATTAGAGTTACTCTACAACAACTACACCAAACTGGCTACTGGACTCAAATCTAACTGCATGAAGATGTAAGGCATAAGAACATAAGATAAGTCAATGGCCCATCCAGTCCAACACTCTGTGTCATACAGTGACCAAAACCAAGGTGTCATCAGGAGGTCCACCAGCGGGGCCAGAACATAAGAGAAGCCATGATGGGCCAGGCGAATGGACCATCCAGTTCAACTCTCTGTGTCACAAAGTGGCCAAAAACCAGGTATCATCAGGAGGTCCACCAGCAGGGCCAGAACTCCTGAAGCCCTCCCACTGTTGCTCCCCAAGCACCAAGAATAGAGAGCATCACTGCCCCAGACATAGTGTTCCATCTATACCTTGTGGCTGATAGCCACTCATGGACCTCTGCTCCATATATTTATCCAATCCCCTCTTGAAGCTGTCTATGCCTGTAGCTGCCACACCACTTCTTCAGGCAGTGAATTCCATGTGTTCATTTCTCTTTGGGTCAAGAAGGACTTCCTTTTATCTGTTTTAAGCCTACTGCTCATTAATTTCATTGAGTCCCCACAAGCTCTTTTATTGTGTGAAAGGGGGGAAAGTACTTCTTTTTCTACTTTCTCTATCCCATGCATAATTTTGTAAATATCATGCCACCCCTCAATTGTCCTTTCTCCAAGCTAAAGGTCCCTAACCTCTTTAACTTTCATAGGAAAGGTGTTACATCCCCTTAATCATTTTAGTTGTCCTTTTCTGTATTTTTTCCAATGCTATAATAATCTTTTTTGAGGTACAACAGCCAGAACTGTACACAGTATTCCAGATGCCACACCATAGATTTCTACAGGGGCACTATGATACTGGCTGGTTTGTTTTCAATCCCCTTTCTAATAATCCCCAGCATAGCATTTCCCTTTTTTTACTGCAGTTACACACTGAGATGACATCTGCAGTGAGTTATCTACCACGACTCCAAGATCTCTTTCCTGGTCAGTTACCGCCAGTTCGGACCCCATCGACATATATTTATAATTAGGATTTTTGGCTCCAATGTGCATTACTTTACACTCGCCCCTTCTGAACCTCATGTGCCATGTTGACGCCCACTTGCTCAGCCTCGAACGCCTTACAGTCCTCCCTGGTTCTCACTGCCCTGAACAACTTAGTGTCATCTGCAAACTTAGCCACTTCCCTGCTTACTCCTAACTCCAAATCATTAATTAACAAGTTAAAAAGCATCGGGCCTAGTCCTGAGCCCTGCAGTACCCCGCTGCTTTCCACCTTCCACTGTGAAAACTGCCCGTTTATACTCACTCTCTGTTTCCTGTAAATTAATCAGTTTTTAATCCAGAAGAGGACTTGTCCTCTTATCCCATGATTGCTGAGTTTACTTAGGAGCCTTTGATGAGGAATTTTATCAAAAGCTTTCTGGAAATCTATGTAAACAACATCTACTCTCTCACCCTTGACCACATGTTTGTTCACCCCCTCAAAGAACTCTAAAAGGTTAATGATACAAGATCTTCCCTTTCAGAATCCATGCTGACTTTTCCTCAGTAGCTTTTGTTCATCAATGTACCCATTAATTCTACCTTTAATAATGGATTCCACCAACTTACCCAGTATCGACATTAGACTGACAGGTTTGTAATTTCCTAGTCATCATCACCCTAGACTTTGCTACATCAGACCCAAGGATCCTGTATGCTCCTATGAATATTCCTTTTAAAAAGACAGAATCCCCCAAATACTACAGTTTTAGCAGTCTGGATATTGTGCCAAGCAGAGATACACACTGGGTGCCAGAAGGGAACAATCACAAAGACATCTAGTGACAACAAGACAGAACATCAAGAACTGCATAGAAACAACTATTTGATTTTTGAACGTATTTGTGAAAGTGATGCTTTTCAAGCACTGTGTGTAAAAACCACCATGCAACACTCAAGCATCAGAAAGCAGGTTTCAACCCACAACTGTTTGCT